CATTAATGTATTAAGTCTGACTGTATTTCTCACCTGCTTAAATCAGCGATTGTTTTTGAAATCGGAAAAAATCCACTCGAAATTAAATTTTCAATATTTCGCATACTCTGTCAGAATTATTTAATTGCAAAAAATTATGTGTGTTTTGCCACGTTTATTAATTGTAGCCACACTAAATCCTATTCACACACACGTGCGCGTGCTTCTTTTAAACAAAATGCAAAAATATAATCGATAACTCTTTGTAGCTGAAATTAATTCTTCTTTCGGGATTGTGATGTACACTTTAGACGTTGATAACTTTTATTTATACTGTCTTGCATTTCGTGTGAACAAGAAAATTAAGGCATTTTGTTTGATTACGTACTTAATGCAATGAAAGGCACGTAAAATTGTTTTCGAGGGAGGGGTGGGGGTAAGTAAACTGAAAATATTTTGAAAAGCGAAGAAATTGGTGGCGGCGGGTGTTAAGGTTCTAATTTTTAACTTTGCGGTAAGAAAACAAATTTTGTTAGTATTAGATATAATTGATTAACAGCAACGGTTTTTTGAATGGTTAGGTGTAAATCGTCTGCCTGTTACCCATTTTAAAAATTATTGGTACATATGTAACATACACCGAAGTACAGAATTATGTGGATCTATTTTTGTCCTCAGCTGTCATGGTTGCTGCAAAATAGAATAAGGCGTAGAATTTTTCAAAGCAATACTCCTACAGTTTTGTTATTGTAAATAAAATTAAACTTTGTGCATAAGTACAATGTAGACTATATATAGAGTTATTTAATGGCTATTTAAAAAAAAAAATGAAATCTTCAACATTCTTATTCATTTCATTAACATTTGGTCATCAATATGCATATTGTATAACTAAAGTGCTGATAAAAAAAAAGTGATTCACGTCCAGGTGCAACTTTCCCATTCAAATCTTGCACTGTCAAACCGGCTGTTGAGATACAATCTCGTTAGAGACTTTTTTGAATAAGGCTTTTCGGCTACTTCTGAAAAACTCATTGCCTGGCAAGAAATTAAATAAATATATTGCATGCACATCAATGTTTTTTTTTATTCCTTTCTTCATATTACTGAAACTGGTTTTTTTTTTCAACAGTGGAAAATGTTTTGTATTCGAGTCATTTTATTCCAAGTGTCATTGAATAATTAATATCGATATTCTAGCGTATATCCGCATATTCATTTTTTTTAAAATTTAAGACAAACTGCCAGTTGTGTTTCCCCAAATCATCCAATATCCCCGGAGATTCAGAATAGACAATGAGGACATGTACCACTTGAAGGCTTTTAAGCGACAATTAAGTATTCTAATTCATTAAGCTGCATGTTAATCTGCGACTGTTAACACAGTTTTGTAATCCAGGCATGTAATAAGTTAATGGATTTTGAATGGATCTGAAGAATACGAATACACGTATTTGTCAGAATACACGTCGTGGTTATAACGCTGTATCTGCAATACTGCATTACACAACAGAATAAAGTTTTAATAAACACAAAAACTGAGACTTCCTGTAAATACTTTTATGGAAACATGGTAACATTTGTCAACTGTGTATTTTAGTTTAAATTACAAAGTGTTATTGATTTTTCTATCATTATTTTTGTTTGTTCAACAAGGATTTTTTATTGATATCGACCCATCATCCGATTCTCTGTTATCAACATTTTTCCCAGCAAAAGGTCTTAATGATTTTTGATATAGTTCCATACGTAACGGTGTCCGATTGGTTGAGATTTTTTCACAACTTTTATATGCCATAGCAGTAATTTCTTAAAAAGGTTCTTATGTATGAAAATGTTACACTTTACTCTCTAGAGAGACTAGAACAATTTGTTTGGATTTTTTTTTAGAACTGCTACGTATCATTTTGTATGTTTGGTAAACATTTAAATATTCAGAGAATTTACAACTATTGTATGTTTCGTTTCAAAAGTTGTTTACAGTTATGGAATTTTAGTTTTGTCATTTGTCATAATTGTTTATAAATTCATTTTGAGTACATAAGTACAAATTCATACTTTTTATCTGCTGAGTATAGATACATGTAAATGTTAAATACCGTGAAATATAAAATTGAAAAGTTTTACTTTGTCGATATAAATTTCCTTGTTGAAAGTTCACTCTTAGGTATTTTTCATTTTTAGATCTATGTATTTCAGAAACTCTCATATGTAAGCATTGTCAATAAAGACAAATGATATATTTTTCCCTTACTTATTTGGAATTTTGTAAATTCAACATTTGTCCCCAAATCTTAATGTTCAACCGAATTTAAACAGCTGATTTGGTAAGATTCTATCTTTTTAACGCCATTAAATATAATGTCCTTGATAATTATTTGATATGTTATTTACATTTAACATTTCTGAAAAGTAGAAAGTGACCTTGGTTTATTTTGCTGCTGCTTCATTTACTTTTTCAGGTGAAGGTTGTTGGGTCAAGAAGTGTCAAGTACGCATATCATTACTAAAACACGAGACGGATGAAACCAATTCCGTTTTACATTGTATTCAATAGCCGTACGACCTACTGTATAATATTGTCAGTTATTTAAGTGATATAGCATGTGGTGAAAATCTGACGAAGAGAAAATATTAAAAAGGATTAAGGTTACAAGAAAATTTGACTTTTATTACATAAAGAGTGGAATAAATTACAATACACTACAGATAAATTTTTGATATAATCTAACATGTATTATCGTATCTAATTTAAAAAAAAAATGATCTCAAAGTTCTTGAGTTAAAGTTTTGAATTTCCAACGTAACAAAATAAAATGTGTTGAAATAGTTTATTGCTTTATAATGGTTTCAGGATTTCGTTCAGTAAAATGTCCCGTTTTAATTTTTCTCCATAGAATATTCTAACGATCTTTGTTCTGGAGTTTCTCTTTTTTTCGAAAAAAAAAATCTTGTTTTTCAAGCATGCTTTTTATTCCATATTGTATGATGGTTACAATATCTCTTTTTTTTTCAACATTGGACCAAACTCCTTATTGATTAAAAAAAGTTATTTCTCCTGCATCCAACTTCTATATGAACAGAACATTTATCTTTTCTCTATATTTGATCAGAATTCCAAATTAATACAACTGGATACATGTATGTTTACTTTAATCACACTTCTCTCATTGCGTTCGGCTATATAGGACATCAACAAATGCTTTAAAAAGAGTGTGTATCATTTAATCATAGTATAAAATGATTATTGCCTTTTTTTCAGTCAACAAGACGATAAAGCATATTTGAAGTACAATATTCGCCTCGCCCTTCGGACTCGGTGAATATAAATACTTCTTGGGTAGCTTAATAATCATCGTATTGACCTAAAAATAAATGTACATGTATAATGCTGCATTAACATGTGAAACAGAATCGAATAAATTAAAAAATTAACTCAAACAGTATTCTTTAAATGTTTACGTTATTCATTGTACGGTATATACCTGCTCTTGTGAAGCCTGTCAAGGGAAAAATAGAGATTACCTAAGCCTTGTATAAGACTTACAAATGAATTTCTAACACAGTTCAGCAAGTGAATATGTCAAAAGGAGGGGGTGGGGATAAATTGTCATGTATCACCACAGATGCAACCTGCGTCGCTTTAAGATACGAAGTAAAAATAACATTACAAATGAGCCGTTTTTCTAAATCCAACAGGTAAAAGACCCAAGTCATTTATTACAGTTGTCCGCAGTTTTGACGTTCAAAAACATAGTCAAGTGTAATATATATTTATGAAGAAAAATCTTAGGCGCACTTTTTTTTTATACGATAATTTTGGGTAGGAAAATCAAAGCAAATCTTTTTTACGCACAATTTGGTATAACAATTTACTTTTAACATTGATTTTTCACTGTGAGCTACCTGTGGTTTGCCATATTAAATGAATTCCAATGGATAGTTTAGAGCACATGAGACTTACACGAAAGCTGACAGATCTTAAACATGTCACCAGATAAGAAATGGTGTATCTTGCTTTTTTCCCCCTCATATGGTAACATTGTACGATTCCAGTACACCGTCCATCCATCATGCTTTATGATCAAGAAACATCACAGTTTCAAAACTGGATCAGGAACAGCTACGAGAAACACATTTCATACGAACGAAAGCACGCAAGAAACCCGCGTGGGTAACAAAATCATTAAATCGTTTTTGTGCTGATCATTTTTCGAAAAATGTGGTGTCGACGATACACCATTCAAAAGGACTTACACGCTAATAGATATTCTCTTTGAGGTATTTAGCCAATCGGTTGTCGGGTTCAATTTCTTCCGGTCGCGGCAAGTGACGAGACAGGACAATGAAATGGACTTGTAAGGTAGGGCTACGGTCACGACCTAACTGGACAACCATGTCCAATAAAAACGTCACAAGGTGTCATGTGACAAAAGAAAAAACCACGGAAGTTATTAACCACAGTCATGATAGCATTTCGCCAGTCATACATGTATATATGTAATAAATGAATGGAAAAATTAACATGACGAAATGTCCGTTAGAATATCCACAGAGGAAATTAAAATTACATCTGTCAACCACAGTGTAAAATGTAATTTTTTTAACTGACCACTATATCTGTATAAGCCAATGACTCAGTATTGTGTTAAACATGCAACTATTGGCTTAAATTGCATGCGATATGTGTGGGGAAAACTTCAATTTATTCAAAATGAAAACACAAAAATCAAATAGAACACTTCAAACAAGTCGGAAATGGATATTTCTAGTAGAATGAGCCAAAAACAATGACGGAAGGTGTAAAAAGATCCTATAGTTTCAAGTAAAAGTAGTCGCTGTATTGTCTTTTTAATTAAGTCATTTTGTCATGCACTGATAAAATCAACTATTACAGCAAGTAACATTTTCTTGCTTTTTAAGACATTCCCCACAACATGATTCTGCTGTCTATTATAATATTTAGAAGTTTCGTGACAGTACTTTTAATTTAAGGGAAAAGAAAAGAACAACCCGTTTCATAAATATCATCTTTTTTATTGTTTATGTAATTTTTTTCTTTTTGCAATAGACAACAATTTTCAATAACTTTTAATTTAAAAATGCATAAATAATAGTAATAAATTAAGGAATAAGAATATAAATAACAAATCTCATATCACATTCACAATGTACAAATGATATTTCAAAGTGATATTTGAAAAATGTAGTCCCCAGTCGGCTCTTGGAATGCAAGGTTGCTGTTTTGTATTTCTGTGTATAATATTTCAATTGTATAGTGCTGATAATGCATAAAGATTTGTTTGATAACTTTCGGTTTAAGGGTTACGGTGCCCTCAATGTTATATAACTTGAAAGGATTAATCATACGTAAATGAAATCAACAATGTTAAAAAAAACATTGAGGAATATTATCTAAAATATTTCTTTGATTTAATGTACATGGTTGTTCTCTGGTTGGGTGAAAATCCAGGCATAATTTGGGTGCAAACAAGACTTGTGTCGATAGTTATGTATCGAACCGACGAGGGACGTAATAAATAAATTAAAAATGGAATGATCTCATCAAAATGAAGTTAAATTGAGACAATGACATTTGAGTTATAAATTGAGATCAATCCAAATAATACTGCATTGTTCAAAACAATGCCAAACTGAAACCAAAGTCCACTAGACTACGTGCCATCTCTCACTGGATTTCTACCGAAATTTTAAAAGATGGAAACTTGCTTCGGCAAATCGCATTCACACTTCATGGATCGAAGGAACCCGAGTAGTCTCGCTGAAACCTCGAGTTGCCTGCTGCCTTTCCATGGCGTTTCCAGCTCCCATCCAATGTGCTCGATTGGAAAGACTTGGCGCGTGTTGGCATAGAAGACATCCCCACACTTTCTGGTAAAGGTGTAAAAATAGGAGTTCGTAATTCAATAAATAAATAGTCAACAACGTCTACTGATAGAACACAACTCCTGGGGGTCAAAGCGTTCTAGGCGTCCGTCTTCACCCACGTTCATTGGAAAAATAAATACCGGGAACATTTCAATAACCTGAAAAGACAGCAGATAAAAGATCATAAGAAACGATGTTCATCAGTGTTCAATAAGTAAATGGTTTACAACAACCTATAGGAACATCATGATTAATAATTCATCGTAACAGATAATGTCTTCATTAATTAGATAGGTCTGAAGTCAAATCTGTGAAAAGAAAGAACATTGAAAAGTCGCGCTGTTAACGTATCTTTTACATTGTCATTTGATCTTTCCGATTACAAGTAGTGTGCTAAATATTTAAAACGCTACCCGTGTCATCATAACTTGCATGCCTCGGTTACAATTTCTGAACTGTGGGTCAACAGTTTAAAATCATTTTATTGAGTACTTCGTTGTGGCGATTGATAGATTAAATGGTTGTGGCAGATTGAATCAGCTTTTCTGTAGGGGCAATTAATATAATGAAATAAAGTCTTTACGTTTTCTATTGTGTCTGCACTCAACATAGGAAGAGCAAGCTCTGCGATATATATCGACCGTACACATTACCAGTGGGGGGTTTATTATTAATTTTTAAATCCTTTTATCTCATTAAATTAAATAACATGCCAAAACAGACTTTGCGTTTTCCCAATGCATGTCTTGTTAATTACACTTTCGGTACTTTTAAACACTTAATGCCACTGCCGTAAGAAATTCTTTCAAGGACCCCTTTTTACAACCTACTTTTTCTGCTTGACAGTTTTGTCCTTATTTGATACTTTAATAATATTCCCTATTAACATTTGTTGAAATATGTGTCAAGAATTAATAAAGATCCTTATGACAAATTGCTGTAAATCTTATTTTTCTGTATCCTTGAATGTCTTTTTCATTACCTTACGTGTGATTTCAATGCAGATGAAAAAGCTTCTGTTATCAAGATCTAGCTTTGTTTTCTTATAACACCGCTCCTCAGTTTACTAAAAATGTACTTTACTTCTTGATAAGAAAGTTAACGTTAGTTTTATCCTTTTTTTAATCAATAAGTTATTTAAAATGAACGGGACTTTTATAAATAATTGTATATCTATTATATGAATCGTACATATCCATCACTAAGATCACAGGGGCTTGCCCCAGGAGTGTAAATCATATATACTTATAAAACAACATAGTATATTATACTTTTAACATATATTGTTAACACTCTTGGATAGCAAGCCCCTGTGATACATGTAATAATATGTCTTCCTTAATATAATTGTGTCGTGTTGACCATGTTAATAAAGGGCATTGCACGAAAAAACCAAATGTCGCTTTTTATAAAGATTAACAATAATTAATGTCTGATTATTCACACGTTGTTTGATTTATGTATCAATTAGTTTGCGGCTCGCGCACTACTTTCCATGAATCAAACCTATTCTGAAAACATTTTGTGAAATATATTAATTTTAAAAATGCAATGCTGTATTTTATTTTCATGGCATTTATGTCCAATGACAAATTATTAATTGGTGAACTATCATTAATTAGTGTTGTATTTTCCCCCTTTGTATGGCATATTGTTAACCAAGTCAATAAATTTGAATGAGTAATATTTGGCATGATACAAATTTTGACTCGTCCCTGACAAATTATTAAACACACGCTTGACCCCAAAGGCTAGCTATTGCATCAGCGGAGTGTTGAAATTCTATTTTACAAAAAAATGTTTCGTTCGCCTAATTAAGTACTTAATGTCATGAACCATTCAAAATAACACGTTGCCTGCCAAATCATTTTAGTTTTGAAAATCTGATAGTGGTAAATTTGGCAATAGATTGTTGAAGTGTTTACAGATGACAATCATTCAAAACACATGTTCATATTTCAATAAATAAAAATGTACAGCAGCACAAGCTAAAACTTACCTATTAAAAATATTGTTGTGGTCAGCTCGATCTTAACCTTTTCAACAAAAGTTTTAAGTTACTCAGTTTTCTCAATTTAAATTTCTTTGTAGCAATTTCACATCTAGGGCCTGCAAAACCTTTCCTGCATAGACAGTGGCAGTATCCAAATATTGAAGTAGGCATAAGAATTGTTCCCCCATTAAAACATTTTCCATTGCATAACATCAAAGCTGGAATTGCTGACACTGAGTTCTTGGTTAAATCATGTGATAACAGTATCACAGAAATTGCTAAAAGTGACCGAAGTGTTAAGTAAATCATCTTGCTTTAATTGTCTTGGCGCGTCACATACAATATCACCTTGAATTTTTCTTATCAAATCTTCCCGATCACCTGAATGCACAGTTTGATAATTAATCCACTTCAATTGTATTTAACGAGCGTCTCTGTATTTCAAGCATACTATTGATATCGAGTTCTTGTGCCAATGATACAGTAAGGGAACACTTGTTCGTGTTATATATACTCGTTACCTATGCATATTCATTTTAAACAGCCAATGGAGTGAATGAACCAAAAATTGTTCTCACGGCATAACAGGATCGGCCCACGTTGTCACTAGTAGTGTAAAAGTTTATTGTGCTTAAAAATTATATTGATTTGAAGGGATAGGTCATAAGTGTTTACAATTTATGAATGACATATAATGTCGTGGAGATGTACACGTGTCATATACAAGAAATTTCATAACGCTAGAATAATTTTTAATTATATACAATGTATATTATAAAGCTGAAGGACATCAGTCATTCAGTCATCTTATCTGTGGTGTATGCTGCTTGAACAGTATGAGATCCTCTCTTTTTTCCCCCCCTTTTGCATGCATATTTAAAATGTTAAGGAATTGTTAAGATGTTGATAATAATAGTAATTATAATAATTAATGAGTAGTAATTTTAGGTTCAAAAGTAAAGAAGTGATTTATGATCAATGGTTCAGAGTTACATCTGTAAAGGATTTTGCAAAATAAAGTTTCAGTACAAACGTTTCGTATGCTATAAAATATTATTTTTAAGGTTAAAAATATCTAAGAATACATGCATGCATCTACATGTATATAATATTCAAATTCGAAGTTTGATTTGATATTTCTGTTGCATGAACTTAAGATGCAAATAAATATTTACATTAAGACATGTAATATTTTTTGCAAATTTTCGTTGAACTTCGATTTTAAAAAAATTGAAAAATGCTATTCACTGTTTCATAAATCAATATTTTTCATAACTGATAACATTGGTTATACACGTGAGAGACGGTATACATGTAATGTACCTTTCCATTCAAAATTAGATCAATAGAAAATCTTCTGGATTTTACATTATAATCAGTCTATCCTTATTTGCAACCTACGTCAGTTTGTGACACTTATAAATTAAGATTGTATTAACATGGGCGGATACAGGATTTTTGATTAGGGGGGGGGGGGGGGGCGTGGATAACTTCGTTCAGGCAGGGGGTCTGGGGGCCGCCTTGAGACCCCCAGTGGGTCCAGGGCGAAGCCCTGGTGGGGGCCCAGGGGGCGAAGCCCCCGGAAGCTCCTGGGTTTTCGTGTATTTTAAGAGTAAAACCAGGCACAATAATAGTGGTATTGGTTAGTTTATATGTACCAAAGTTTGGCATTATTAATACTAGTCATATCATACTTTGAATAGAGGGGGGCCCAGGGGGCGAAGCCCCCGGAAGCTCCTGGGGTTTCGTGTATTTTAAGAGTAAAACCAGGCACAAAAATAGTGGTATTGGTTAGTTATATACTTAAGTATGGCATTATTAATATTAGTCATATCATAGTTTGAAAATTTTAGGGGGGGCGTGCGCCCCCCACGCCCCCCCCTTAAATCCGCCAGTGATTAAAGCACATATTACTAAAACAAACAAACAAACAAACATCTCAAATTCTAATAATTTATTGTGCACGTAAATTTAGAGGAAGAAAGCAAAATTTCATTGCCATACATCTCTTTGTCTGTCTCTGTGTGTGCCATGACAAAACGACCGATTTTTTAAAGAATGGTGGACAAATACAGTCCGAGGGGCCTAAAGCCGTCCCTCGTTCAGTTTCGTTCCTGTCGTTAACCGGAAAGACGATGACACTAGAGGGAGGTTGTTCAACAAATGTATCATTCTAGTTTCTAGCCTGTCACTTTGATCTCTTCAAATTAAAATTAACGGTGACTAACATATTTGTACTTTCTTCTTTTTTAATTGCACGTACACTTGGTTACACCTTCTGCGTGTGAAAATGACTTGCTTTATATATTTTCCGTTATACTGTTGGACGTGCTGAATCTACATACAATGAATATATCAAAAACCGGTACGTCTAGGTTAATATCTATGCATTAAAGAAACATATTTCTTCGACATGTAATTTCTCAAGCTTATTTCTATTTCGGTAATGTAAACCGACAGAGATCTGCAATAACAAAACATTTGTGAAACAAATTTATTTGTAATACACAGCAATATGACTGGTGATTTTCCTTGAGCATATACTTCTTTAATAATTTTGGTTGAGATCATATGCTTCTGCAGTACTAAAATAAAAAATAAGAAACTTATAGAGATGTCACAATCGAAAGGGGCTGTGCAACGAAAGGGCCTATCCTCAAGCTTTAATCTTTCTGTATCCTGCCAACAGCTATACCGTAAAAGAGAATTTAGGTTCAATGTCTCACGTAAAATTCCAAAACTTTTACTTTCGAGGTCGCGCTTCAAAGAGCGTCGATTATAAAAAAATCTGTTTGAGAGTTACATTTAAAGAGGCTGGGGGGTTGTGGCCATTTTTAGACTATATTGATCTCCTATAGAAGAAGAGCTCCATATGAAGATATAGAAAATGATCAAATTTTAAAACTAAAATTTTTGAAATTTTTCTTTGCCAAATGATAGTTGACAGCTTAAGATATCATATCTAAGAACTTAAGTTAAATCTGGTGGTTAATTTGTTGACCCCCCAGCCTCCTTAATTGATACAATACACAACAGTGACATTGTTAAAAAAGTGGTCTAGTGTTATAGTCTAAGATCACATATCCGTGACATTTATATAAATCTGTGGCCGGGATACTATATTATGCATTGACATCGTTAATTAGTAACTTCGTCTCTCTAAAATTAATGATGTTGAATATTTAAATCAATAACGCGATGATTTTGATGAAATGATAGAAATACAAAACAAACAGATAAAAAAACAAACTTTGAGATATTCTTTAAAAAGTGGCCTTCTGTCAACATGGCGGAAATTCAGATTTCAAACATAAACTTGAAGGTCATCCATGTGTGCCTAGAAAATTTCGCATTAATTGCAGTAAGTAAATATGCCGAGGGTATGAAATCAATCTGAAGTCGGTCTGAACCAGTATCAACAAAATTGATTAACATATATATTAAACAGTTTGCACCTCATGACATTCGATGGAAACATTCAAGGTTGTTGAAAATAAGTTTTATTTCTTCTTTTCCTATAAATTGTTAAACAATCGACTTTCTCTATTTTTAATTTTATACTACATGTACTGTAACGACCATGTTGTATTGGGATATACCTTGTTTGAATAGAATCAAATCAAACAGATATGTTATTAGAGGACATACAGAAACATATGAAAATTGTCATGAAATAATTTTATATGTTTTAACAAAATATAGACATATTTCGAAAAATGCAAGTCATTCAGTCGTTTTTAAAACAAAACTACGTACATTTCGAATAATTTGTAATAAACTTGGTATTATCCTAACATAAAATTTTAATTTTGATATATTCAATTGACGTACTTAGATCACAAGTGAAGGATCACAGCATGGGCTTAGTATGGCTTCTGACAATGTGTCAATATAGAATTGAAGACGTTTTTTCATCTTGGTGGGGGCAAGATGTATCGTATTCCTTCTTCCAACAGATTTAAGGAGGTAGTCAACCACATTTCGTACTAGTAATGATATATATAGAGAAAAACATCTTATATTTAATAGCGGAAACGGTCGATTAACAAGAGGGCTGAGCAAGAGTGTTGCCCCCAAAAACTTACAATTTCCTCACGATTGTATCAGGCACGAAATAAAGTTTTCTTTTACTATGCTAATTTGGTATAGGTATTCCTAAAATAGCAAAACCAGTCTGGGCTTTGGGTCATTAACACCGATTTTATTTTAAAATCTTACGATTGTATTGTCACATAGGACCCAGGGGGCCTCTCAAATACAGAGAAGTTATGCCAAGTCGCAACGATAAGACTTCGTAAAAGATAACACTTGGTACCTTTTCAATATTAGATAAAAAAGAAAAAAAAATCAAGCTGGTTAAATAATTACAAACAATAACAGCAAAGAAATACTCTTGACTTCTTTCTTCAAATTCCCAAACACTACAAATGATGGACTCTTATTTCAATAATCTACCGCTTTCGGTAGAATAAAAAGGATTATCATTTTCATGTATCCTCGAATGCATAAGACTGAAACAAACAAAAACATGGATTTTGTAAATGTAATATAGGGTCATCTTTTGAAGAAACTATTTGAGAACGTACAACAAATCCCAAAAATGTCACTTCGACCACTTTCTAAATAAATGACATCAACATTTTAATTGAACAGGTAGAGGAATTGCAAACTTCGTAAAATAATAATATATATTACTTAAATGCTTCCATGCTCTGACAACGATTATATATATATATATATATATATATATATATATATATATATATATATATATATATATATATATATATATATATATATATATATATATATATATCTTAGAAATAAAGTAACCGATTAAACTAACAGATGCATCTTTCCTATTTATCGAGTAGTAGCTATAGTTAACGACTATCCAACCTATTGAAGACTGAAATGGATTTCTGCAGGATGCAGTTGCTAAATATTGAATTAGAATATTGTTTGCATTAAAAAAAAAGTGGTCAATACAATTAGATATATCTTTTAAAAGCAGAACAAACACCGAATAAATTATTCTATATCATCACTGCTAGCTTTGTAAATTTTAAAATGCATGTAGGGCGTGAAGCAGATATCAATTTAATTAGTAAAATGCGTTTCATTTCGTGTAAATATAATCAAAATTAACTAATTTCAGAGGATCATGGAGTGCATATTTATCATGATAACAATTACTCAGCTAAAAGTAAAGATTGTTCTTGGTATGGGGATTCTTTCGAAAAAAATTCAAACATTCTCCATCAAAATATAATGTATCACACATTTGGGTGGTGGCGTAAATGACACCAAGCGTATGTATGTTTGATATTCTTGGACACATCATTCAAATCGTGACTTTACTTTTTAATTTACAAATAACAGTAGAGTCTGCGAAGTTCATTGAGATTTAGGTCAAATGAATCCAAACCGTGCTATCAATATGATACAGGCAACTACAGCTGTATTTTGG